GTTGTCAGAAGGAGAGAGGTCTTAATTGAACATTTGGCTTCATAAAATGCCTTAATAATAATGCAGTGTCAAGCCCACAGTGGTAAATATTAGTCAGGATTTACTTATTGATTTTTCTGCAAAACGCATCTCTGTAGGGCTGTCAAGATGAAGTATTTTAAATAGGGGGTTATATTCTTAAAGTTGACTTTTATACTAAAACACAACAAAACGATTGCTGATAAAACTATGTTGAGGTAAATTATTAAGCTGTGAAAATGTACACACCCACATTTAAAGTCCTATAGATTGAGCTGTTTTGTGAAATATTCTCAATGTTAATTCATTTATCAGACATAGTAAAGTTTCTCCTAAAAAATGAGCATTTGTTAACTTAAGATTCAATTTAGATGATTATGTGGAAAACATGTTGTCAAGTCTCTTATTCAAACCCAGCCCCACCCTCACGTTGTTATCAGATGAAAAATTGTTGATTTTGACACGATGCTAAAAAAGGAGAACATCATTATAATCCCTAATTTTCAGGACCACCATCTCAGAGGATTGTCTTGTCTAAATTAAGCAATATTCATTCAAGTAGGTGCAGTTTCATTCATACAAGTATTAGGATTTCTAGTGTTTGTATTAAAAGAAATCTCAGAGAACATATAGCAGAACATGTTTAGAGTAGCCTCTACATTCAGCCAGGCTAATCGACCGTGTAAAAACACGAAATCTCTGATATTTTTAAAAGCCAATTAAAATTAAAGTTATCTTGACAAATCATGACAAATCATTTTTACAATAACTATTTCTAAAAGCACAAAATGTAGGGCGCCAAAAATAAAAGCATCAAACCACATTTCAGCATCTCGCCAGAAAATGTGAAAGACGCTTTTCAGTTCACTCCAGACTAATTATTGGTGCTCCTAAAGCCACAGTCTGTTGGAGTAAGAAGTCATCTGGATTTGAACATTTGGAGCATCACGGTGGGGCTGGTTTGGCTATCGCTAACATGGTTTTGTTGTCATAATTGGAGTATCTCCAAAGTTACAGGGAGTAAATGGGCGGCATATGGACACCTTAATGTAAAGTGATGCCTTATTCATTTCACATGAATGCACGAATCAGAGCAGGTGACGCGGAATAACACGAGGGAAGAGGCAGTTGATTTACCCCTGAGCAAGGCAGCAGGTCCGGCATCTGCTGCTCTGCCATGATGGCATTTATATTAATTGGGGAAACATTAAAGAAAAAAGGAAATTCCTTAATGAAGGAGACGGGAAGCATATGATTATTGCTTTTATTGCTTGTATGCCTCCGTGGTTTTTATGCTCATGTTTGGGCAAAAACTTAGAGAAGTTCGTCCTAAATACTCACAAGGGATTTAAATCAGCTTAAAGAGAAGATGATATCTCTTTCGCCTGCTAACTAGTGAGGTCGAAATGGGGATGTATCTATTTATTCAATCTTGTTTCTTATTTTATTTACTCAACCGTTTCAGCCTTAGAATAAAGTAAAACACATTTAAACAATTTTATATGTACAGCTTTTATATTAATGTATTTTCGACCAATGTATTGTTATTTAAGATATAGCTAGGTTGCTGATTTAAATAATGACCTTACTTTAATAAAACACATTTTTACAACGCATATATAGACGCATATATTGCCACAGAAAAACAGTTTTAAAAACGTATATTTTTAGGTTAGTTTATTCTAACAAATCAAAAGCCTTAGCCTGAGATCCTCCAGGATTTATAATTGTATTCAGTATTGATTGGTGCGCTGTGGTGTGTTTTCAAGGCCTATACTTCAAATGTGCTGTAAAGGCCAGCTAGACACTGCAATGCACATTTTTTTAGAAAAGAGGGAAGAGAGACATCATTTCATATCTTCTCAAATATTTTAACATTTAACATTTTTATATTTTCCACAAAGATTTTTCATTTTGGGGGGATTTGAATGAAATAAAGGAAATCAAATAGATTTACAGAACAACAATATTTACATTTAAAAAGTGAATCGATAAATAGGTTGAAAACGGGGCCAAAAAGAGCAATGTGATTTATTTTTCAAAAGGCTAATTCAGTTTACCAATGCATGTGCCCTTATATCATGGGTTCATCTACCATAAATAACCATTTAGGCCAAATTCAAGTAGCCTCATTTATAAAAGTTTAGTTTCACCAGATGCCATTTAGCAGTGGCTTATTCTCAAACAAGCTGTAATTGTCATTTTGAACATCCATAACGCTGGCAACGCTGTGTCACTTTGCAGAGCTGCCGAAATATTGATCCACGGTCCTCTCTGCAAGGCATTATTGTTTCTGCTCGGATATATGCTGCTCTGGGCTTCACGGGAATATTCCCCCAGATTAATAATCAGTGTGAAACCTGTAAGTAATTGACACGGGGCCTTCAAGTCCCCCATTGCCTGGCACACACTTTTATTTTTCATATATAGCTAGATTATTATAAAAAAAGTCAAATAAGAAATATGCTTTATCCGCATTTCCGCATCCGCACATGCACGGTTCAGCAAAGCACTACTTCTTGGTGTATTTCTGTGTAATTGAATTGAATCTCGCCTGAAATGTATCCCCTTTTTCGTAGTACTTAGAAAATCGTGTCCCTTGTACGCATTTTCTCTGCAAAGCAAATGTCACCGGCTCGTAGGGCCAGGGCTTTATCGGCACAATGGCCGTAGAGAGCCAACACACATAAACACATGGAGCTCAGCTCGTGCAGACATGGCAGGAGCTTATCGATCCGCATGAGAATGTGTAGATGAGGTTTGCTGCCATATAAGGCCAAACCTTGTCCTTTGATATTCCTCAGTCTTTCTATATCTTGTCTCTTTATTGGGTGTGTGCATATAAATACAAATAGAAACAAATCGGAAAATGTAAGCTATATAACCATAAATATAGTTATTTAATGTTATATAATACGGTAGAACCTCAAATAAAAATATTGGATGATATTCAAAACACATTTAAGTGTGGGTACCTAATATAATAAGTAACATGTAACACATTATTTCAAATAAACATGTAACCATAGTCACTGTTGTGGTACCCTGTCGACAGCCCTATTTGCCTGCATCAGTCTATTATGTCCACAGGACTACACGCTTGGACAGCCACACTTCGGGGAATTAGTGTCTTTTGTCTCGACACACGTCACACACACGCCGTTGACATTGACTTCACATCAGAGACAGTTTAACTTCGTCTCTTTTTTTTCTTTTTTTCTTTTATTTAACTCGTTCAACCGAGCGCTGGGTCTATTGTGGGGACCCTGACAGATGCGGGGCCCCTAGCAGGTCCAGGACAGGGAAAAGTCTGAAAGGTTAATCTGTCCCCCCGCAGATGTTGGCTTTGGGAGTCTTGAAGCGTCACCTTTGACATGTCCCTCATTCAGCGGGGGGTCCAGCAGGACACTGACCGCTGCAAGCTGTCACCTCGTCCGGCTGAGGACGCCCTGCAATACCGCTCTATTAGGATAAACGGCCCCTGACATGTCAGCAGGGCCCGGCTTTCATCAGGCTGCAGGTTTGGGGAGTTTGACACTTATGCAACATGATGCAACACGGGGATACGAATCGTATTATGTGTCAGCATGTCATTTCCTTTTTTTACGGATAAAGCTGTGAGTTTATTTGTGTGTGAATTTGTATAATGTGGAAGTTTCTGTTGACAAAAATAAATATTTTCCTATTGAATAAATAAAATGTTGGCCTTTTATTTGGAGTGTCATTGTGTGTAGGCAAGTAAGTTATTATCAAAGTTTAGGAGTATATATGCATGTATTCAATTAGGACACACACACACACACACACACACACACACACACACACACACACACACACACACACACACACACACACACACACACACACACTGCTGAGCTTGGTTCGTTAAGCCTAATGTTTGAACAATAGACACATCTGCTCATCTTTTTCTATCAAAAGAGAAGGTAGCCTACTACAGTCTTCTTCGTGTGTTTAAACCGCCACATATTTTGGTAAGGGGTGTGGGGGTGGGGTGGTGCAGCTGAAGTAGCCTGGTAGAAAGAATGGATCTATATGGTGCATGAAAACAACTTTATTGGCAGCCCTTTAGCTGCTAATTAAAATCATTATGTCTTGTCATAATTTCTGAAGCCTCTTTCGCTATTTTCTGGAGAAGGATTAAGTGTGTTTTCATTGGAGCTTCTGATGTTTTGAATCCCAGACCTCACTAGTTAAAAATCAACTCCAAATGAACCCGGAAGTTTACTTAATTTGCACCTAATAATTTAAGGAGGACTGAATGTAAAGCCTCATTATAGCTCTAATGAATTAAACGTTTTCTATTTAACAATTGGCCATCAAACCTTAGGCAGTGCTTCCACACTATTTCCATGGGTCGATGAAGTGAGGATTTTATTAGAGATCCGTCTATTTGCATTTTTTTTACATTTCCGTAAAGGCTGGATATGGGTTACGGGGGAGAATAGCTTTAGCAGGTGGTTTGATACCTCCCTTCCTTAATAAGGTAGCTGACGTCAGAGGAATGGGGCGGTGTGTGTTTGAGAGAGAGAAAGAGAGAGAGAGCGTATGGGAGGAGATGTGTGTTCACAGTGCGCATGTGCAGACAGTGATCTGTGCTGCGGTGGAATAGGGGCTGGAGACACACAACTAGAGAGATGGCGCGGCACCCGACCGGAGCGCAAGGACAGCTGGTTGGCGGTGGGGGGGCTTGAAATATAAAGGGAATCAGAAAATGATTTTTTTTAAACAACAACAATATCAAGAAAAAAAGGATACGAAAAAGGAGTTCCCATTCTGCAAAACAGCGTCAGAGGCATAGGAGAATACATGCGAATATAAGGAGAGAAATACCAAAAAGCAGGCTGGCAGGCAAGGAAAGAAGAAAAAAAACAACAAAAGAAAATTGAACTTTACGGGACGTGAGGACTTCTGGACATCAGGTAGATCATTATAGATGGTTTGTCCACAGCGCTGCCCGGATCATGAACGCACATCTGTCGATGGAAAATATTGGCGACATGCACGGAGTGAGCCATGAGTCCGTGGTCGGTCACGGAGAACTGCTGAGTGGCCACAGTCCGCATGCCCGTTCCCGGGGTCTCAGCCACCGCGCTATGGGCATGGCAACCCTCCTGGACAGCGGGGACTATCACCCCGGACACCACGGACACCTGCACCCAGCCATCAGCATGTGTGAAGTCCCCCCCGGCATGAGTGCATGCAGCACTTACACCACCCTTACACCCCTGCAGCCCTTACCCCCCATCTCCACCGTGTCCGACAAGTTTCCTTCCCATCATCACCACCACCACCACCATCCCAATCCCCATCATCCTCACCATCATCCGCACCAGAGGATCCCCGGAAATGTCAGTGGCAGCTTTACTTTGATGCGAGAGGACCGGAGTCTGGCGCCTATGAACAGTCTGTACCCCGCATATCATCACAAAGATCCCTGCATGGGCCAGAGCCTCTCCCCGCTGTCTGGTTCCGGTCTGGCCAGCATACACACGTCCCAGGCCGGGATCCCTCCCTACGCTCATCCCGGTGCCGCCATGCCTGGTGAGAAGATGCTCACCCCCAGCGGGTTTGAGGCTCACCACCCCTCCATGCTCGGCAGACACACGGAGCAGCACATGAGCTCCTCGGCGGGCATGGTACAAATCAACGGCCTCCACCACCACCCACACGCCCACCTAGGCGCGCAGGGGCACGGCCAGGGGCTGGGGAACAGCCGGGAGCAGGCCTCCGGGCCCGGGCAGCAAGGGGGTGGCGGTGGAGGGGGTGGTGTTTCTGGGGGCCAGATGGAGGAGGTGAATACCAAAGAGGTGGCGCAGAGGATCACCACAGAGCTGAAGCGCTACAGCATCCCTCAGGCCATCTTTGCCCAGCGGGTCCTGTGCAGGTCCCAGGGGACCCTGTCCGACCTGCTGAGAAACCCCAAACCCTGGTCCAAGCTCAAGTCCGGGAGGGAGACTTTCCGCCGCATGTGGAAGTGGTTGCAGGAGCCTGAGTTCCAACGCATGAGTGCGCTCAGGCTCGCAGGTGAGCGAAGCCTCGGTAAAGCCCCCTTTTTGTTTTCATCTTCTCAATGTGTTGCTGAGAGAAACAGAAGCGTCTGTTGTGTCAGCACAGAGGATCATTAGCACTGAATGCTACCTTATATTGATCAATGGGTCAAGTGGGCTATGGGGTTTGCTCTTATTTTTTATTATAATACAGAGAAAAAACTATACATATAACAGCAATCTGAGTGTTAAATCACATCAGGGTAGCATTCAGGGCAAATGATCCCTCTTGGCTGGTTGTACTTTATTCTCCTAACATGGTTCCACAAATTATTATTTGATGATAAAATATTCCGGATGTGAAATGGTATTAAGTGCAGCAGGCCATGCCTCAGGGTTTGGGAGTGTGGTTTCTTTAGATAAGGACCCCACATTTAAGCTTTATGCCTTGGAGGGGAGGTATGTTTGATGGTGAAATCCAACATGAAGAGTGTAAACAATATTTGAAGTTTACCAAGCTAATTTTCGTGCACCAACATGAGTGGACTGTTATCAATACGCATTCCTTTTCTGTCTCTACACTGATTTGGGGGTTGTGTGAAACAAGTGCTCATGTCATTTTACCTCAAAATATCGACCACTGGACCGTGCGTAAACTGATCCTTCGCCCAGAAATCGTTAGGAATGTGTTTATTTTGGTGTGGATGCAACCGATCAGCCTTTTTGGTGTTGCCCTTGGTGTAAAAAGAAACAGCATGAAAAAGTTATTGACATTTTGTGATAAACTACATTTAAATGTCTAGTACTGGTGAAGAAATGCATGATTTAGTCAGTAAATATAGCTTTGTCTTCAACACTGTTAAACACAATTCTATACAAACTAGAATACAGTGGAGTGGGAAAGACAGCATGTGTTTATGTTTTGGTCGTAAACTAACCCTGACTTGAGGTTTCTCTAATGAACTGATAGACCTCTGGATTAATTTGTCCCTGAGGTACGCACGAGTCAATTAGGGCGCGTATTGAGGCCCAAATCACATGTGCGCGTTCACAGACACCCAATGGATTTTTTTAACGTTTATAGGCCTAATCAATGACCTAGAAATGGGCTTTTTGGCTTCTTGAAAAGTGAGGCTGCAGCCACATGGAAAGTGCGTGATTTTGCTTACGTGTGTGTGCGTACGTGCATGTCAGTGCGTGTGCATGTGAGTGTAATCGCAATTGATTACTTTTCAGTTTTCCCATCTGCTGCTGCTGCTGCTGGCGTATTTGTGTGTGTGTGTGTGGGGGGGGGGTAGATGTTATCACTGACTTTTGCTAAGGATTTATGAAAATAATTAATGGAGCCTTTGAAAGCTGGTTTAGTTTTCAGTCATCAGCCTATATTAATATTAATATGAGATGATTCTTTTTTTTAAATGAAAGAGAAATGAATCATTCATACCTCGAACAAAAATGATCATGCCTGTTTTAGTATGTTCCCATTAATCTCTAACTTTTCAAAAGAAAACCTTTTTTTTTTTTACAAGAACAAATATGTTTTGTTTTCCTTTTCTTGAACCAGAACCTGCAATACAGAAATGTGTGTTTTTTAGTGGAGAAACGCCACAAGGAAAATATATATGACATACAAAAAAAGAATAGGAGAGGGAATTATTTTACAGTTAAAAACTAAATTAATTTGGAGGGAATGGGCTGAGCGCCATTTTATTGATAATTTCGTTCCTTGGTGAACTAGATATGTGATCGTGTGCTGAAGTAGGTGTGATGTACTTATTGATCTAGGATTCTGAAATTAATCTCGGGCCTTTTCTCCCTTTCCCACGTATTCAATTACCCATCTGAATTTGCTTGAATTGGATAGAATAAAATAGAGAATAGAATGAAATACAGAAAATAGATTGAAACTTTTTTGAAGTAGCCATATTTGATAGTGGGAACAATTCATATTTAATACATTCAGAACTGAGGAATCTATTTAAACTCCGTAAATCAGCTGTAATCGCATTGACAACTTTCCGAAAAAATATTGTTTTCAGGTGTTTTAGACAATTGAGGGTATTACTAGCACAGTAAAGGAGAATACACATACTCTAAAACAGAGGGTCGAATATTTGCAGGATTTGCAGCACAGAGGTCTGTGTGTTGTTCTCTGTGAGATTATGAAATGCAGGACTAACCGTGTCTGAAGACCCAGTGTGTGCAGTCTGTTTTTTGAGTGAGTGGAGTTATCTGTGTTTGTAATGATTAGCCGGGTGCAGCAGCAGTGTGTGTGTGTATATGTGTGTGTGGGTGTGTGATTAGCGTGATAACGAGGCCGCTGTTGTGCCCCCCTGTCCTGGGAAAGCTGGCTCTCTGGCCGGGCCTCAGCTCCGGTCGGGCCGCTGTGTGGAGGCTGCTGCTGTCGGAGTGGCCTTCACTGCTGCTGATTTATAGCAGCACCGGCTCTCTGTTAATAATTACCAGCACTGGAGACACCGGGCTGCTTAAACTCACAATAATACTCCAGTTTATGGTCATGCAGGCTAGGTCGCTGCACTGTACTTTACAACAGCGTGTAGTGTGTGCAGAAGTGAGGTTACAAGGTGGGATCGGCAAAATCAGCTCCAACTCAACTAATTTATATAAATAATCATTATTTCAATATATTTGCTCTCCCTAATGAGTTACTGTTTCTGTATGTGGATTTTAAAAGGCAATGGCATTTATGCAAAACTAATATCCAAAAATATAGGACTAAATGAACCCCTTTCTATATGTAATATAGCTAAGGGGCATTTTTTCCCAATGTGTTGTTCTGCTGCACTTGTGCATTTATGTATCATACTGCCTTTGTTAATTACAGGGTTTAGGGATTTTCTATAATACATTGATTTGCTACATTTAATACATTTACTCGGTACACTTTGCAAAATTAATCGCCACTGGTGTGGGAGTTGTTTTGGGGTTGGCAAATGCCGTTTCCCCGGTGAGTCCATGTTGGGCCTCGCTCCAGCAGCCCACTTCTGCCCCCTCCTGGCCTCAGATGAACCTCAATTTTAGATGGTTGTCCTCGGGCTTAATAAGAAGAAAATGAAACAGCAATGAGATCAGTTGTAGTGATGTTTGATTTGCTGTCACACAGAATCCCAAATTGTTCTTTCCAACATTAGATGATCTGTTGTTTATTGTTCTAAAACTCAAGTATATTGCGGTGCACCTTTTGTTTTCAGCACCGCGGACAGCGCTCATTGTTTCCCGGCGGACAGGCTTTCTGTCTGTCAGCCCTCCTCCCCAACATGGGGCTCTCTGAACAAATGCACTAGAGTTTAAATCCTCTGTTATTCCCCATGCACCCCAGCGGTGTGCACACTGAAAGAGTTTTAGTGTTTCGAACAAAGGTGGAAAAGCGATTCCAACCTGCAGGCTGTTGCATGTGTCTGTACAAAGTTACAACCAACAGATAACATCTAAAAGGGTTGCCTTGGGAATAGTGTTAAAACGATTGTAGTCATGTAAAGATCAGAGATAAATAAACACTTTGACACGCTCCCATTACAACAACATCACTAAATGTTCAGTTAATCCAGTGTGTATACTCTTTTGTTCTTGGTTTGATCATATACAAGCTGCAGCAGATACAGAGAGAGAGAGAGAGAGAGAGAGAGAGAGAGAGAGAGAGAAAGAGAGAGATACAGAGTGTGTATCATTCAGATCAGCAGTTAGATCTTTCAGTTAGGTTGAAGAGATTCTCCAGACATTACATAGTTGAAAATGCTTTTTTCCAAAAAATGTATGGACGTTTTTATACCAGCAATGCTGGTATACGTTAGATAATACTTTCACTGGTGATATTGGATGATTGTGGAATTATCATGTTGGCTCTTAGGATAGAATTACTCAATACAATTATTATATGTCAAGGCTATCTTGATATAAGTATCTATGAAAATCTTAACCAGTTTTGGTCCTGCATTTGTGCACCAAATAATCTATATTTGACTGAAAATGGAATGGAAAATATCTGATTTTGGTATTGGCTTTAAATAATCATCCCAGTGTGTCCTGAATGAAATCATACTTCTACCTGGAGCTAGTGTTGAGGTGAACCAATGAGATAATACATAGGTCAGTCAGTCAATATATTTATTTAACCCTTTTTTTAATCCAAGGTCAAGGTGTGATTGAGGGAAGATTGTCATGCCGGTCCAGATTGTTGTATTTATACAAGTATATAAGATAAGATAGGACTTTATTCATCACGAAGGAAATTGTTGTGCCAGAGTTACACAAATACAATAAACACAGCAGCACAATAATAATAAAACTGTACACTAACAGTGCAGTAAAAAGAGCAATGCAATAACTATAGGAAACATAGATGGTCACATAATTAATGTACATATTAACAGTATCTGGTATTTAGTAGTGTACATATTCTGCCCTTTCTCACAAACATATTCTCTCTTTCTGTCTGTCCTCTGAATCCACAGCATGTAAGCGTAAGGAACAGGACCACGGCAGAAGCGAGCGGGGGAGCATGTCCAAGAAGCCCCGGCTGGTGTTCACAGATGTGCAGCGGCGGACGCTCCATGCCATCTTCAAAGAGAACAAGCGTCCATCCAAAGAGCTGCAGATCACCATCGCCCAGCAGCTGGGCCTGGAGCTGACCACAGTCAGCAACTTCTTCATGAACGCACGCCGCCGGAGCCTCGATAAGTGGGTGGACGACGGCTCCGGTCATCCTGGCCCCAACTCCTGCACCAAAGCCTGAAGACGGACTGAAATGACCAACTCATGGACTGACTCAACCTCGGTGGAAAAGCTTTAAAACTTATGAGAAACAAAGAGAAACTTAAAAAGACCTTGAAGCAACGTTTTGCCCTTAAACCTGTACTATATTGATATTTATAGTATCCAAAGATGAAAAAACAAACCAAAGACTTCTTGTTTGACCTGCTTTGAAATGTTTGTTTCAGCAACACATTTACGTGTAACATACTGCAAAAAGACTATAGTTTTACCCCCCTTCATACACACTCACTGTCACTGGTCTCTAGCTTTACCCCCCAACACCTCCCCACTCAGTATCAATCTATCATTCGCCATCCTTATCTTTAATCTGATTGGTTGGTTTTAATGATGGGTCCCTAAATGGAGGTTTAATCACCCTATTGGCAGTCTGATCTGCAGCTGTCCACACCCTTGAAGAACAGCCAGAATGTGGAGCTCCGGTGGGATTGGCCAATCAACTTTAAAGACACAAAATCCTACAGGAGCGACCGGATTGTTGTGCAACCTTGTTTGGATCGGTGGCGGTGGACTGTCTGTCTATCTGTCTGTCTGTCTGTCCAGCTGTCTGTCTTTCTATAAAGCATTCCAGACAGACAGGGAAATGCCCATGTGTAGACTGCTAACCCAAAACCAAAAAATCCTGAACAATACCAAAAAAAAAACTAACCTCAACACCCATGGTAGTGCTTTCTTCCAACATGCTGAAGCGTTGAATAATTTAAACAAGAGAAACCAAAGCCTTCTACAACCTGAAGCCTCTCATGCATCTTAGAAATCAAACCACTTCAGATTCTGCTATGAAGTAATCGAACCAAAGAGTCTATTTTCTATCTTACCTCTTGAGACTGTTAGTCGCCACAACGAAGATAATGTCACCGCTTATGGTCCATACCACATTTGGCACCATAAGTTCCCCGCGAATAGAAATATTATATGACACAACTCTGAGAATTGACTATTGATATTTGCCTTATGGATGCCTTTTCTAATCAAACCAAATATTACAGTGATATCTTCACAAACTCTGAATGTTACTTTAAATGTGAAGATTAATCATGACAGATACATCTTTTCCTCTGAGTCTGTCCCGCAGATTTAGCTAAACTTTATTTTTGAAATACCAGCAGCCAAAGAACAAAGACTAATCCATTCAGTAGTGTGTTATCGCTGCAAAGGTGAAACCAAAGATGTTGCCTCTCATGCTGAGTATATGTGACACAGTGAGGGAGACAGACGGCCTCTGATGGGTTTTTTTGTGTCACCACTCTAATAATAAGCATCGGCGTCCCTGTGCATTTCATTTTATCTCCTCATCAAAGATGTTCGGTGGAGGGGATGATATCAATGATCAAATCACTTTCAGGCGCTTACACATCAATGTCACCTCGTCACCTGAATACGAAAGCAACCCACTCTGCCTGTTGCAAACCCCNCCCCCGGCTCCTCTATCTCTCTTCCTTTCTTCTCCCCCTCCCACCTGCTCTCCACCCATGCACCCCTGCTATGCGTGCTCTTGCTTCATCTGTGCTCTGATTACAGCTCCATAGATAGTCATGCTGATGCAGCTATAGGCGGATATGCTGATCTAGCCATAGATACACACAGGCGGCCATGCAGGGGTACAGACAACTCACTAGCAATCTGATTTATCAACTTTGTAGCAGTACCAAAGTATTTATTTCACTACAACATTTTAAAAAAAGCTAAAATTGTGGTTGTATAATCAAATTAAGTTTTAGTTTGGTGCATGATTCGCCTTCATACCCCGCTGTGTCTATTTTTGCAGCTTTATTTCTACTCCAGCCTCTTAGTGTGTATCTATAGGTTGATAATATTGATCCACCATATAGGTCAGACTTCTTGACATGATAATAGGCAGACAAGCCGACATAGCCATGGGCAGAAATGTTGACTCAACTATAGGCAGACATGTTCCTGAAAGTAGAAGCAGACGTGTTGCAATCTTTCTAAAACTCCCAGGACGAGTGCCTTGCTTGAACCAAAGTGTTATACCGCTGTTGACCTCTCACCTTTGACTCTGTGAATACCTCAGCCTGTAGAAGGGCCGCTACTGAAGAGACAAGGAAAGGTTTTTTTTTTTTTTATCACACCGTGGTGCTTTCGCCAGCGCAACCATGCAATGAAAACATACCAAAGGAATTTCTCTTGTCCACTTCTACAGATTAAACCAAAGGTCTTTGTTTCTCCTCTCTCTCGCCCCTTCATCCCTCCTTCCCCAAACCTTCCTCGTCTCTCTGCTGTGTGTAAGAAGGTTCAGCACTCTGGCCGTGCATGTCTTTACCAATGTCTCTGAATACCTCATAGTAATAATTCCTTTGAGTTCTGCATTGAGACGTCTATCTGTGAGTAAGGCAGAACTCCACTCGTGTGGTAACTGTTGTTGTTACTTCAAAAAGCTGTATGATTATCTATTTTGAAGTTGTTGTTTTTTTGGCAGATGTGCTCTGTTTCAAGTCACGGACGACAAGTTTCAGGGTTGATGTAAGAAACTTAAGGGATGGAGGGAGAAGCGTATTTTTATCAGACATTGGGTTATGCCAATATTATGATGGTAGACTATTGCTTTTACAGGGTAAAACCAACTGCTGTGATATTGTGTTTATATTTTGCCTTTTTCTCTACTTCTGTGTTGTGATTTTAATTTAATTGCATTTTTGTAATGGTTAACCACTGCTTTAATTTATGCATTTGTAGAAACTCTAGATTTGTATATAGTAGGTTTTCGAAGAAAAAAAACAAACAAAAAAGAAAGTTTTATGTTACAGCCTTATTTCCCACGCTTAGATATAAAAGGAGTAGTTTGTATTCTTCTTCAGCTAAATCCTAGCCGGCATTTCAATGTGTGTTTTAAACACTGCCAGAAACCCAGACAGTTGATTTGCCAATGCAGACAAAGTGATACAGGAGCTACTTTGTTGAACAGCTGGCAAAAAGCAGTGTGTACGTGTGTGTGTTTTTTCTATTCTTTTGACTTTTTAAAAGAAAAACGGTTATTTTATGGGTATTAACTGCACATCCAAAGATTTTTAAAACAAACCAAAAATTGGAAAAAAATATGTATAATGTTGAAAAGCACTGGCATTTGTGAGGTAGACTTGTTGAGTTTTGATTTGCCATTCGCACGGGTATAGAATGTAGAAGGCGTAGGGCTATGTAGACAAGCTTACTCTACCATGTGGGGAATCTCCTGTTCAATGTACAATCTGAAGCATTTGAAACGAGGGCTGCAAGTCCCGCTCACTTTGCTGTCTCATGCACAGAGTGAGGTGGAGTGGAGGCTGGGCAGCCGGTCTGCCAGGGGCTGTGCCGCGGAGCTGGGTCTGTTTTTATTGCCGTGGCACTGCCGCCTCGCTCCATCTAGTATCTGTTCTTTTGGTACGTACTCGTGTAATGACTATGAGCAAAGTCTAATAAAACTGCAAAGAACTAACCAAGGAATCAGTGTGTGAGTGTATGGGGACGATCACCTGCTTGTTTTTTTTCTGTCTGTGAATGAGTGTGTGCAACTCACATGTCAAGTGCTGCTGAGGTATGCAAGTGTGTATGTGTGTGTTTATTTGCATGCGTTTCTTTACTGTGTGTTCTTCTATTTTTGAAATCTGTACGTACTGCTGGTGTGTATGCATGTGTGTGTCTGATTGGTGCATACACCAACAGTGAGTTTGACTCCCTCTGGTTGTCAGAGGCCTTACTGTTAGTACTGCTTCCTCTCTGTCATACAAACAGCACAGTATCAGCATGTCACAGCACGGAGAACGTTTTCCAGTTAAGTACAGGTGCTTACAGAACAAGTATAACTGCATGAGGATATGAATGATGCAGTGTGAATCTATTTTCCCCCATTACCACATTTTCTGTTATTTATTTCGTCCATAAGGAGTTCCCATGTGATGGGTGGCTTGGCTACAAGTCTCATAACAATACTGCGGCGCCTAAGACAATCATCTGGATCTCTTAACGCTGGGGAACTAGTTTATCACCCGCAGAGGGGTGTCCTCCAGCTATTCACATACAAAGATGCTTGAAAGGGTTTTGATAAACAAGCATATTTGTTGTCATAGACATAATAGATTACAGTAGTAGTTCATCCTGCACTTGCATTTCCAAATGAAATCTCATTGCTCTCGTCGGCCTTGTGCTCTTGTCAACCTTGTTCTCTTTCTTTTTATCTTCTCAACTCACAAAGCTTCTTCAGTTTTCAGTGCGTGTGGTTTTGTGCGTGTGTGTGTCTGAGTGTGTGTTTGGGTGCGTGAGTGCCTGTGTGTGTGAGTGTGCCAGAGAGGCAATACTGTCAGTGTTACTCTCAGATGTATAACTCCATGTCTCATGACCTGATTTGTCATTGCTGTTTCCCAGGCTTTGCTACTGCTTTCTCAGTGCCGTGCAATATCATCTGTTGTGATTGCTAAGCAAATTTAAAAAAAAGAAAGAAAATTGAGAAGCAAGTGATGATGTCATCCAGCTTTTTTCAGTGTTCAAAATGTTTCAACATTTCTGTAGTCACAAAAAGTAGAAAATAAAATGTTGGTATTTCCAGCTTCTGAATCCTGGCTCTTGTTATTATTATTATTCATTTATACTGTTGTGTTTTGATTTGTCTTTTGTATTGCTCAGACAGGCAAATTTAATCAATAAAACATCAAATCAGACAAAGAAGTAGAAGAACAAGACTAGCCTGCATATGAGTCTGTTTTGAACCTCCATGACAAAAACAAAACGTTGAATAACCCATATATTTATATTCTGTGCAAAGTATTTTATTAAGAAGTAAACAAATTATATAAAGTTATCCTAAAGTGAACAAGAGATCTTAATTTTTGACTGAATGTAAATGTTTAGTTTAACCTAAAATGTTTAACTCCATGCAAACCATTTTCTAAAGTTGGAACAACAGATTTCACGTTGTCACAAAACGTTGTGTCAACATTTGAAACGTATAGCAAATACTAATTAAACAAAGCTTCAGATAGATCTGGCAATAGTGTATGTCCTGT